ACTGCCTTCCCGGGCCACAGCAGAGAGCTGGACTGGAAGAGAAGCAACCGGGACTAGAACCGGCGCCCACATGAGATGCTGGCACTGCAAGCGGAGGATTAACCTAGTGTGCCACGGTGCCGGCCCCCCTGCTTACTTTCCAAAACATAGACAAACAAACAAAATGGCTTCTCCCATCAGGCTGCCATCCAGCTGGAGCAAGGTGGGGAGGGAGGTGGGCAGGGATGGGAGGTACCTGACCTCTCTGTTCATTCCTCTAATACCTTCTCTTTTCCTGCATGGAACTTCAAAAGCAACTCTCCAAGCTCTTCCTCCCACTGCTATTTGCAGCTCTGTGGTCTGCTGGGGGCTGGCTCCAACCTCCCTGGTCCGATCCTCTGCTGCTTCCATTTCTTATTTTTTCTTTCAGCATGGACCTGTCCAATCTCTGTCAGTCTCCTGGGCTTCCCATCACGAATTTCCCACAGCTCTATCGCTGGAGCATATCTTCTCCCCTTTTTAACTATTTTGCCCCGTGTGACTCGGATTGTCCAGTTGCTGTATCTCCCACTCTTTCCCTTTGCAGCTGGCAGCCAAACCTGTGATTTTTAACCTGGGACCCAGGCAAGGAGGGAATCCACATTTTGTACAGGAGAAGCCTCCTCCTTTTCCCAGTCTCCACTTGTCTGAATCTCATGGCTTGTCCTTGAAAACCTAAGCACAGTGGTTGGTGTGGCTAAAACAAGGCTGTCTTTTGGCTGCTTGGGTGGCAGTTTTAAACTAATGACATCTCCTTTCTCTACTGCTGCATAGGCAAGACCTTTCTGCGATCACTTGCTTTCCTGATGACAAATGTCTGGTGGGTCACAAGCCACTCTAGGACACGTCCCAGCTTCCTGGTTTGCCGCTTGAAGCTTCTGGTGTAGGACAGCAATCTGCTTTCCCATTGTCTTTCTTTCTCTCTCTGCCCCCAGCCTCCACTCCCAAAAAACCCATGTATCAGCCACAGACACCACAAACCATGGCCTGCATTTCTGTTCTTGCTTATGCTGTTCTCATGGCCAGATCACCTCCTCTGTTCTCACCTCTCCCTTGCTCTGGGGTGGACGTTAGGATGCCTGTGTCCCATATTGGAGTCCCTGGGTTCAATTCTTGGCTCTGGCTCCCGACTTAAGGGTCTTATTAATGTAGACCCAGGGAGGCAGCTGTGATGGCTCAAATAATTGGGCTCTTGACACCCATGTAGGGGAACTGGATTGAATCCCTGGGTCCTGCTTCAGCCCTGGCTGGGCCCCTGCTGTTGCAGGCACTTGGGGAGTGAATTAGCAGATAGGTGCTCCCTGTCTGTCCAGCAAAAAATAATTTAATCAAGCCTCAGTTAAAGAAACAAACTAAAACACTTGTGGTCTCTGTTAAACAACTGACTAACCAAGCAACCAAACCAAAATCCTTATTGTTTGGAGTAACATAATTACTCCATGCATTCAGTGCCAGTTATTAAGCTGTTGTCTCTATTTCAAAGCCACCCTTCTGTGCTCTGCTCATCACAGTGCCGAGGCTGAGACTCTCCAGCCACACTGCTGCTCTTGCCAGCTGCCGGCTGTAAGTCTCTGCCAATGTTATGGGTAAACAGCAACAAAGAAAATCAACCTTGGTTCTTGTCTCACTTGGAAGGAGAATTTCCACGTGGACAAGGCAGTGAGAAAAGCAAGATTTATTTAAGTCAGAAACCTCCTGCTGTAGCAGCCAGGAGGGGGGCTCCAAGAGAGGCAGATCCGAGAAATTGTGACACTTCAGTCTTTTGAACACAATTTTTTTGGGGAAAAAGAAAAAAACAGAACAGCAGCTAGCAAACCATCAGACAAGACCCATCAAAAGGCTAGGATCATAACCCAGTCTAGGTTGCTCGTGATTAAAAAAAAAAGCCATCAGAAGAGTGTGATTGGTAACTTCTTATTCTGATAAACTAAAACACAGAAGGGTGGAATCATTACTTCCTTGCTATTCTCGTTGTAAAACTGGAAACTCAGAGGAGTGGGATTCAGCACTTTTATCTTGCTAAAGGCAGCTTTTGGGGAGAAGCAAGCATTTTGCACCCTCTTTTTAAAGAGATGTGCCCTTTCCTCATTCCTCCTGGGACCGACCTAACTGCCTGTTAGTCCACCTACCTCCTCATACCAATATGGGGGCTAGAGAGGATGCTGGAAGATACTTGATTCCTGTGAGGATCACCCCAGGAATGCTGCTTCATCCCGACCATAGTAGCCCTGCAATTCACCAGCAGGGTCCCCCGCACTAGCAGCACGGTGGCTGTTCAGAGGCACCTGGGCTGGCTGGCTGTTGCTGCCGTATTAGAGCTCTGGGACCCAGCTCTGAGACACTCCCTCCTCTGAGCTCAGAGTTGGCAGCCCCACCCAGGCAGTGCTCTGCTCGACAGGTCTGAGTTTTAGTCTGCAGAGAACCTCTCTGAGTTCTAATCCCAGCCTCTTCCCTGGGTTCCTGCAGCCCCAGGTGAACTTCCTGCAGTTGCTGCCTGTGTGATGACGTAGTGTTCTCTTTTTTGCCCTAGAGAAGCATAAGAACCTTATCCTTAGATGACTCTTATTTGTTATTAAATTCTCTCTTCCCTGGTCTGAGAGAGAGAGAGAGAGAGAGAGAGAGAGAGAGAGGTCATGAAGTGTGGCTTAGAAAGCAGCTATGGGAATGGGTGATTTGGCACAGTGGATTAAGCTGCCTGTTGGGATTGCCTGCATCCCATACTCAAGTGCCCATTTGAGTCCCAGAACCTCTGCTTCTGATCCGGCTTCCTGCTAATGCTCCTGGGAGACAGCAGAGGATGGCTAAAGAACTTAGGCCCCTGCCACCCCTGTGAAGGATCCATATGGAGTTCCTGGCTCCTGACTTCAGCCTGGCCCTGCCCTGGCTGTTGCAGGCATTTAGGGAGTGAACCAGCAGATGGATGATCTCTGCAACTGTGTTTCCTTCTCTCTTTATCCCCCTACCCCTCTCTCTGCTGCTAGATAAGATGAAGATAAGTAAATAAACCTTAAAGGAGAGAGAGAGAGAGAGAGAGAGAAGTAATGGCCAGGTGGGTGACATGGCTGCCCAAGTAGACGGTTACTTCCCAAAGATGAGGGTTCTGTTGTTTGAATGTGCCCAAGGGTAGGGACAGTGCCTTGGGGAGGAAATATAGTGTGTGGCCATCAGGGGGACAGGAGAGGACTGGAGGAATTCTTTGCTAGCTCAGTCTCTAGAACAGTCTGCCCCTTAAGCCGAGAGGGCTTCTGGAAGATCTGGGAAGAAGTTGTTTCGTGGGGGTACTCTTGAGTTTCTAGGCCTTGAGAACAGAGCAGGACCCCGCGCCAGGGGAATGGGGGACATCTTTCCTTGCCTGTGTGGAGCTCAAGTGCTCAAGCCCTTTCCTGCGGCAGGGACTTAGGCAGTGGCACGCAGAGCCGTGGGCACTCTGAGGGGCTGTCACCTTGGGGAGAATGAGGGCGATGGCGCCCCAGGCAGGGGAGCCGTTCTGCAGTGCGAGGCTCTGGCTGCAGCAGCAGTGGGGCAGAGGGGCGATGGGGGGGCTCCTCCACCCAGTGGTGCCAGCCAGGACTCCAGAGAAGAAAGACACATCAAAAGGACTCCCCGAAATAATGGGAGCTTTTGAAGTGGGGGCTGCGGGCCGGTGTAATTCCAACGTAAATGTAATTTCATTTGTACTCTCCCTGGTGAGGTCTGTGATGGCTCAGGTTACATTAAAGGCTGCCTCACGACTTTTTTTTTTTTTTTTAATCAGCATACTTATTCCCTGGCATTTGCTTGTGGAAGGCTCTTTCCCCTTCCTGAAGATGTAGGTATTTGTAACTCAGGCCAAGCAAGTGAGGAAGCAAGCCCCGGCCACAGTTCACCCCCAGGCTGCTTCTGTGACATCTTCTCAGGGTTTCCAGGAGGCTGCCGTTTAGCAACTAGGAGCTTCCCCAGAGGCAAACTTTGGGGTTTGTCCTTGGCAGGCTTGGCCAAGCTCACGGTGAAAAAACTCGTGACTTGCTCTACCTGTTGTTTGAAAAAGGCAGCGTTGAGACACTTTGAATATTTGGCTGTGGGGGTTTTGGCAGAACATATTTCAAATGGGGGAAGGAAGAGAACAAATGAGGGTAGAGCAAATGGCTCTCCCGTGGAGGACGGCCAGCGAGGACTAGGACGGAGGCCTGTGTGGGTGTTTGGAGACCCCATGGTTCTCCTTTTGAAGCCCTTGCTTTACTATTCATGGCTTCATTACATGCAGTTTTATTCACGTGCACATCCCGAGGTGGGGCTGGGGAAGGGGGGCAGGTGCTGGGTTTAGTCTTCAAAATACAACAAACATAAAAGTCATCATATATTTTAGAATTATAGGTGCATGCATCTCCTTTTTTCCCCCATCAAATCTTGCTTTCCATTTAGCCACATAAATGGTTGTCATAGTGACATTTACTTCTCACCTCTGCAGCTTTGCTCAGATGGCATCCGGTAGCCGTAAATTCAGCTCTGGCTGTCCTCTTCACACTCTGAAACCTATCAGCTGTGAGGTTTGCTTGGGAGCTGCTCCTGCTGTCACCGAATGCGTGAAAAGTACGGTGAAATTAGGATAAAACAGACCCTTTATCTGAATGGCTTGCTCAGAATGCTGTTGTTCATCGTTAGAGAAAAATTTGAGGCTTCAGCATTTTGAAGAGGGGTTCGCCAGTCAAAGCCAGGATTTCTAGAGTCCAACAGTAAAGCAGGCGTTTAATTCCTTCTAACAGTTTTTGTATGTCTTGGTTCTAGAATAGACTCTTTTTTTTTTTTTTTTTTTTTTTTTTTTGACAGGCAGAGTGGATAGTGAGAGAGAGAGACAGAGAGAAAGGTCTTCCTTTGCCGTTGGTTCACCCTCCAATGGCCGCCGCGGCCGGCGCGCTGCGGCCGGCGCACCGCGCTGATCCAATGGCAGGAGCCAGGAGCCAGGTGCTTTTCCTGGTCTCCCATGGGGTGCAGGGCCCAAGCACCTGGGCCATCCTCCACTGCACTCCCTGGCCACAGCAGAGGGCTGGCCTGGAAGAGGGGCAACCGGGACAGAATCCGGCGCCCCAACCGGGACTAGAACCCGGTGTGCCGGCGCCGCAAGGCGGAGGATTAGCCTAGTGAGCCGCGGCGCCGGCCCTAGAATAGACTCTTAAAGGTTGTCAGATGATTCAAAAAAATAATTTCGTTAAGTGGACTTTGTAAGGTCACCACAAAACACACCAAACACCGGAGTTAAGGGAAAGGGCTTATTGACGGGGAAATTTGACAGCCGGAGGGAAGAGGTGAAGAAGAGCAAGAGAGAGAGAGCACCTGTGCGGGAAGCAGGTCCTGTTATACCTTTGCCGGGGTGAGGGGGCAGGGAAGTAGGAGCAGCGAATCCCATTAGGATGGCTGCCCATTAAAGCCGACAGCTATGGTTGGGCCATCTGGTCACCTGGCTTCCAGCAATGGTGGTGGGGGCTAGAGCCTAGGATGGTGTCTGGAACCAAGATCACGCCACAGATAAGACCATGCCATTTTACTAACAGACTTCAAACCCTCTTCTTTTGTAGCATTTTGCTAATGTCACTTTGTAGAACCTTTGTGTATGTTAAGATTGAGCATTGTCGCTAAAGTTTCTTTTTTTAAAAAGGATATTTTTAAAACCTAGATTTAAGGGCTGCTGAGGTGGTGCGTTGGGTTAAGACACCACCTATGCAATGCCAGCATCCCATCTTGGCATATCAGGGCACCAGTTTGAGTCCTGGCTGCTTCACTTTCCATCCAGTTTCCTGCTAATGCACTTGGGAAAGCAGAAGAGAGTGACCGAAGTACTTGGAGCCCTCCACCCATGTAAGAGACCCAGATGGAGCTCTCGGCTCCTGGCTTCAGCTTGGACCAGCCCCAGCTGTTGCAGCCATTTGGAAGTGAACCAGTGGATGGAAGATCTTCCCCCAACCGCAGTAACTCTGTCTTCTAATGAAATAAAGCAGCATTTTATTTTTTTAAAGATTGATTTTTTTATTTGAAAGTCAGAGTTACACACAGAGAGAAGGAGAGGCAGAGAGAGAGAGAGAGAGAGAGAAAGAAAGAGAGAGAGAGAGGTCTTCTAACCACTGGTTCACTCCTCAGATGGCCACAATGGCTGGAGCTATGCCAATCCGAAGCCAGGAGCCAGGAGCTTCTTCTGGGTCTCCCACGCTTGTGCAGAGGCCCAAGGACTTGGGCCATCTTTTGCTTTCCCAGGCCATAGCAGAGAGCTGGATCAGGAGAGGAGCAGCCAGGACTTGAACCGGCTCCCATATGGGATGCTGGCACTGCAGGCGGCAGCTTAACCCGTTATGCCACAGCACCGGCCCCTAAAACAGTATTTAAAAAAAATGGATTTTAGCATATTTCAGAGACAAAGACTTCAGGAGCATCTTGGCTGATGAAGTTTCTGAATCACTGAGAGACTGAGTAAGACCACAGAGCGGAAACTATTTACTGAGGGAGGGGGTGGAAAAGTGACTTCCCCATCCTGGGTCTGGCTGCACTCCTGTTGGAGAAGGAGTGGACATCTCCCTCAGCTTCTCCTGGGAGTCCCTGCCGAAGCCAGTCCAGCATCCATCAGAGAGGCTAGGCAGCTGTCGTGTGTGGCACAAAATATATAGAAAAATAAAGAAGAAAGCCGAAGTTGAGCTGTGACAATAAATCATTTTGGATGCTTTGGCTTCAGTAAAGAAAACAGCACTTGAAAGTGTCTCAGTCAGTTTGCAGTCGCGAAGTAGAGAATTGCAGGGTTGGCTCCACAACGATCTCACCCTTCCCTCCTGGTGTAAACCACTGCAACTCCAAGGCACATCCTAGGGCTGTGGCATCCACGTTGGAAGGAGGAGAAGACAAACACGCTCTGCTTCTCCTTCCTCCCTCTCCTCCTCTCCCTTGCCCATTCCCGCCCTGTCTTTCCTTTCCAATCCCAGCCACCTCCCTACCTCTGCATGAGTCCACTAATGTGTAGAGCTGCATCACACGACCACCTCGAGTTGCAAGGAAGGCTGGGGAAGCAAGTGCCTGGCGTTTTCTGTCTCTCTTGTGGGAGGTGGGGGAGGGAGATGATGCCGCCTGTGGAGTAGAAGGGAGAAGTCGGCGGTTGCTGCTTTCAGTGACCAAAAGCGTCCACCACTGATAAAGTTTGGGAGGCCATAGGACTTATGAATGAACATCACTCTACTGCTCCAGTCAATGACCTGCCCACAGGGCTTGGTGTTAGATCCAAGACCTGTCTAGAGCTTCTACAGGACAGAAATGAGGATGATGGTGGTTGACATTTGACTTCCTTATGACAGCTGGCATAGTGACGCCTTTGTTCAGCATGTATCACCTCGCTTAAAATTTGCCTTGAGCCCTGGGGGGCTGCCGGCGTCTCAGAGCAGAGGGTGCATATGCCGTGGCTTTCCACCGCTCCCGCTGAAAAGTGGGCACTCATTTCTTCCTAATTAAACATCAAACATTATTTCAGATGGTCCCCTTCCTAGGATGTCACGGGGGATGCTCCTGGAACCTGTCAGCGGTGCTGATCATGTTGTCATTTTGGCAACTGATTCCTGGTCTGAATAATAAAATTATCATAATCTCGCAGCAGAGGGAGGGTGACCAATTTGTAAAGTCCATTAAGAATTGAGTCAAGGATTGTCCTCTAATGAGATGGAGAGCGTCAGGGAGACAGTTCATCAAGCCTCAGTGTCACAGACACACAAAGGCATCCTGGAGGAGGGGCTCCCAGAATGCTGGCAGACGGTGGGGGGTGGGCTGTCTGGGACGCGCATCTGCATATTGTCATTGATCAGCTGCGGGAGAAGCGGGTGACAAACAAGGCATCGCGGGGTCTTCCGTGGTAAGGCCGGGTGTGTTGGTGCCGCCCGTGACTCACTCCCCACGGGGCAAGAAGCATTACTCACCATTTCCCCTAGTGCCAGGAAGAGAAATGGAATCAACGGGCATATCATCTCCTTGTTGGAAAACGACAGCTCCCTTATTATAACCCCCCGTAAATTGATGGAAGAGCTGTTCAGACTTCATGGATATAAATGTTTCCTGGGATTAATGGGAAGTTATTCCGAGAAACGACGTGCAGTTCAGGAACCCATCTGTGGGTTGAGGTGCTATTTGTCTTTGTTCCTTCCAGATGCCGGGGTCACCCTCAAAGCAGCCGAGCACAGATGGCCAAGGCTTCCTATTCCCCCCCTTCCCTGACCCCCAACTCCCCCCCACTTCCGGTGGCTAAGCATTTGTCGTTTTAGAGAGGCTAAATAGCCCCCACCTTTGGGAAGAACTTTTCTTCCTTAGGGAAGTCCTTTCAAGGGAACTTGAGATTTATAAATCTACTTGTCACGTGTGGGATAAGCCATGGAGATGTAACTGTTACCTTGTAGCACAAAAGCAAACTGCTTGCTGTTGTATCTTAAATAATTAAACTAATTTGTTTTCAATAGATGTCTCAGACTTTCAGTTTTCAACATCCTTTGTAAAACAGGATATTGAGCCTCTTGCCTGACACACGGGCAGGGGGTTGGACCAGCAATGGCCTATTTTCTGAATCATCAGAGTCTTCTGTGATGTGGTCTCGAAGGGCCATCTTGGGACTGCCATGTAGTATTTATATTAATGTTGATACTCTTATTGAGTGAGTGCTTTCATAAGTGGAAGTGAATCTTTTGTCCAGCACTAGGAGCGTGTGGACACTTAATAAATACCAATCAATAGCTTTTGCCGATATTGGAATCGAGGCCTCTGTGCTTCCTGGATGGCTCCGTGGGGAAAGATACATTTATAGCTTGTGCTTTATTCTGAAGGAGACACTGAGGGCTGCCGTCTGGATTGCCTTTGTTTGAAGCTGTGCTGGAAGTGACATCCTCCTGTGCAATGCCACTTCTGTCAGCCACTTGCTAGGGGCTGGGCTGTCAGCCGCCCTTCCACTTGATTTGCTATGTTTTTAGTTTATCCCAAGAGTCAGCTGGCCAGGGAGGAGTGGGGTGGAGGGTGTTTCTCAGCTTGCCAGTCTTCTAAATTTCCTCACGCCCACACCCCAGCCTTCCCCGTAGATTTCCAAGAAGTGGCAGTGGGCCATTCTGCACATCCACATTTCGAAGTGGGAAGCATTCTGCAAACTACTACTTTCTCACCATTTCTATGGGAACCGATTCATTTGCCTACCCTGCCCAATGTCCCACTGACACGCTTTGCTGAATCCAAGGACAACCAAGGGAGAAAAGGGCCTGGGGAACATGTTACATCGCACACCAGGCCTTGCTTCTTCTCACAGGGCCTTGGTTTTCCTCACCAAGTGTGTATGCATGTGCGTGGGGGTCATCTCTGGTGGTCACTCCTGCCAGGTTGCCACTTTCTCTTCTCCTCTCTACTTCATCAGTCAACAAATACGGATTGAGTTCTACTGTGCATCAGGCACTGGGCTGATGCCTGGATACGGAGCACCAGACTGAACCCCAGCCCTGATGTTCCAGAGCTTGCAGTCTGTGGCTGAGGGATGCAGAGAGAGGAGACAGCACACAGCACACATGTGTCTGGTGGCTGTGGCGAGGACCAGTGGGTAGAGACCTGGCATCTCTGAGCAAGATGAATGGCTTCCCTAATCTTTCACAGTCCTGCACTCTCCCTCCCCGACAAGCTCACTAGGAAACCCCAAACTCCTGTCTCCGCTTCTTACCCCCGCACCTCTGTAAACATCCTCCATCCTTCCTTCCTTCCTCTCCTTTCCCTCTCTGTGCTTTGACCACTTCCCTCTAGATTCCAGGTTTTGGACCCTCAACCTTTTCAGCCCAAGGCAAGTGCTGTCACCCGCCATATGCAAAACTGTGTGTCCTTATAGGGGAACACCTGGCAGATGGCTTTATGTGTGAATTGCAATTATTTCCTCCCTAAACACCATTTCAGCATCTTTTTCTCCCCAAACCATGGGATGTCCGCAGTGAGGGTGTGATCGTTGTGTTTCGATGGCCTTGAGAGAACATTAACAGCTCAGTTCCTAGTGATGCAGGTGTCTTCTCTTTATATAGATAATGTCCGTTATGCCTTTTATTTTTCATTATTATTCATGTTCTTCTTCCTACTCACCAGATGGCAAAACTGAATGCTTACCAGTTACATGATTTTTGTGTTAACAAACAATTTTTTTATAGTACTTGTCTTGTTCCAGACACTATTCTAAGCACCAATTATAAATTAATCATCTCAGTTGGGTCAAGGAGAAAAATCTCAATGGGGTGTTGATAGGACTTGGTAATTTTCCCCTTTTTTTTTTTATATTTAACTTAATTTTAAAGGCAGAGAGAGAGAGAGAGAGAGAGAGAACTCCCATCCAGTGTTTCACTCAAATGCCTGCAACAGTTGGGGCTGGGCCATGCTGAAGCCAGCAACTGGGAGCTCAACCCAGGTCTCCCAGATGGGTGATAGAAACCTACTCACTTGAGCTATCACCACTGCCTCCAAGGGTCTGCATTTCCAGGAAGCTGCAGTCAGGAGCCAGACCCAGGAATTTAACTCAGCTACTCAGATGTGGGACACTGGTTTCTTAACTACTGTGCTAAACCCCTGCTTCTGTATTTTTCTCCTTTTAGCCTATGGCGAGCAGGACCTGGGTTCAGAAGCTTTGGCTTCTAACTCTTTTGTTTTGTTTTACTATCTTATATTTAAGGTTATTTTCTATAATAGCAATTGATCCAAAGCTTCTTTTTGAAATCTAAATGACTCTAAGCTTCACCATGATACATAATATAATGAATACGTGGGTGACAATATTTCTAACAGTCATGGGAAAAAATGGAATAAAAGATAAGTTTATATTGGTGCAAAATATTTTTTGAGATTTATGCATAGCTTTTTAAAAAATTTTATTTATGGCCGGCGCCGTGGCTCACCAGGCTAATCCTCTGCCTTGCAGCGCCGGCACACCGGGTTCTAGTCTCGGTCGGGGTGCCGGATTCTGTCCCGTTTGCCTCTCTTCCAGGCCAGCTCTGCTGTGGCCAGGGAGTGCAGTGGA